CTAAAGTTCTAACTTTGCACATTTTTACAAAATGAAATGCACTTTTATAATGTGCATTTTAAATATGTACAAAAGTCCACTATTATTTGACATTTTCTAAAATTTTACACTTACGCTTTTAATGAAATGAAATGCACTTTTTATTTACTTGTATTATAATGGTGTCTTCTGGTGTCACCTATATAAATAGAAAATATAAAATAATAACGAATTAAAAATGCATCAAAAATTCATATAAATGTGCACAAATTTGTGAAATGACAATATTTTTAAATTTTGAAATGCACAAAAATGTTTAAGTAAAAGTGCATTGATAAATATTATTAAATATAATAATATCTTACATTTCACAAATATGTTTAGGGTAAACATTGAAGAGCAAGTTTAAATTCAATTGTACTGTTTAATTTAATGTATGTGTTTATAATTACTAAAAAGCATAGAATAAACAAATAGACTCAAAGTAATATTTATAGAACCTATAGTATATTAAGAAATAGAGAAATTAAAAAGCGTAAAGTAAAAAATAAAACATAATATGTAAAGTATTCCATATATTACGTAAAAAGTTGATGAAGATAAAATATAATAATATAATAATAATAGCACATTAAAGAGAAAAGAAAGGTTGACTACTGGGCCATCGGCTGATGAATTAATTAATGGAGAGTTATTCGATGTTAAACTCCATATGGTAAGGTACAAGAAATGACATAATGGTCCTCTACGTGTAATTATAAATCTCTCAAAACAATAGTTGATCTAATGGTCCATATCTATTCTTATTTCTCTCCTAAGATGAATTTCTCACTTGAACCTAAATATATATATATATATATATATATATATATATATAGGGGAAAGATCAAGTACAAACTGTACTTATTGTGCAAACATTTGTACGATGCACCTTGACGTTCTTTGTATTGCAAATTGAGGTTCAAAGTAATGCATATTATTCAGCCATACAATAGCAGTTGCACATTAACGTTCAACGAGTTGCACCCTAAAAAGTTGGGTTTTATTACAAAAATGTCACCTTGCCTTTATGTCCTTTGGATCAACTCATCAGACGGTCAAGATGAGTTTGTACTTTGTAAATTAAAAAGGGTTTGTATTTGATCTCTATTATATATATATATATATATATATATATAGAATAAAGATCAAATGAGAACATTGCTTAACGTGAGAACGTGAGAACACCACTTTTTCCCCAACGTGTTGCACAATGAAGCTTGTATATTGCACATTTTCACATTTTAACAGTATTTACAAAAATGCCACCGTGTTTATTTATTATACTCTTATTTCGACCAAATTGAAAATGTGCAACAGAATAGCTCCATTGTGCACCACATTGATTTAAATGTGAGTGTTCTCACGTTCTCACGTTAAGCATCGTTCTCACTGGAACCGCACCCTATATATATATATATATATAACATTAAGTCATTTGGTCATGTGCACAAAACATCTAAACAAATAAAGTGCATACAAATGATCCAAGCATAATTAACAAAAAAATGCCTCATATTTAATCATCATCACGTCTGATATATATATTTGAGGCTCTCACCACCACCAGCACCACCATCATCATCGTAGTCATTACCATTACCACAACTTAGAGACCCACTTTCACCATCTTCGTCATACTCATCTTCTTCGTTGATAGTAAAACCATCTTGAAGATTCTCATATAGAGTTCTCGCATCAGATGAAGTGACATTTGGTGAAACACTTGTGTCATTCCATAACATAGAGTTTAAGTCTGGTACTTCAACATCCAATTCAATCCCCAAAGACTCAATATCTTGGACGATACACATATTTTCTTCTTGAACTGGGGGAAGGTCGCAAATGTGTCTATGCCCAAAATGCTCAACAACTCTCCATCGTGGGCCATTGTAAAGGTCCTCAACATAAAACACTTGCTCTGCTTGAGATGCAAGAATAAAAGGCTCATTTTCATACAAAAAATCCTTGATGCATATGTTCATCTTATTCTTGTACTCTTTGGTTCCCCTTCTTTTCCCTCACCGATCTAAGCTTGTGTTGTACCACTTACATTTGAAAAGAACCACAAATGGTTACCTCTGTAACTCAATTCATAAATCTCCTCTAATTGTCCATAAAACACTTCATCATCTGACCCCCTTCACAGAAATCACACTATTTTGAGTTGATCGATTCATATCCCGACGGTGAGTCAAAAACTTAACTCCATTAACTACACATCTAGGATAACTTTTGAATGTCGGACAAGAATGAAAAGAAAGAGAAACCAATTGTTTGTTCACTTCCGGCATTGAACACTTACACTCTTCGAGTGAAAAGATCTAAATAGATAAACATTTATTAGTTGTCAATGAAATTGCACAATGAAAATTAATATGACTGAAATTATGGATATACCTTCCTTTGAAACCATTGTGGAAACTCTTTAAGTTGAATTTCATCCAAAGAATAGATGGTGTTCCGCAGGCTAATCACTTCTTTGTGCTCAATGTTCATCATGTAATTATATGTGAATAAAGAAACATCATATATTGAGTACGCAAGTATAAATACTTTTAGTCACTTACTCAATATACCATTGGACTTCCGGGTATTTCTGCAAAATGTACCACTCTGCTCTATTTCGCATAGCATAGTCCAGAGTTGTTAGAGACATTTTTCCAATAGGACGGGTTCGAGATTGAAAGATAGATAAACTTCCTGCAGTGCTAACATCATTTTCAATCCAATTCCTCTCTAACCTGTTGAATCTTGTCTCAATGTCACTCAAATACATTGAGCAAAACGACAATGCCTCATCTGCAATGTAAGCCTCTGCGATGGACGCTTTTGGACGTGCACAGTTCCTAACATACACCTTCAAGGAGCCAAGAAACCGTTCAATTGCATACATCCATCTTAAATGAACTGGCCCTCCTTGAATAGCTTCCTCCGGTAAATGCATGGTGACATGAACCATGATATCACAGAAAGCCGGAGGAAATATCGTCCTATGAGTTTTATGTCATTTCCACATTTAGTCCATGTTTTCCACTTTATCATTTTTTGGTACATGACTAATTACATTGATCATTTGTGGTCTTTTTCCGTCAATTTTAATACCAGAAACATTGACGGATATATGAGCGAAAACACAACATTCAAGTATTAGAAGTGATCAAGTTTAAAATGTGTACCAATTGTGAAATTGGTGCGATACTCGTGGGACCGAAAGTGGAATTAACTCGTACAACAACAATATTGTTTAAATAAATCAGTCCATTCTTTTAAAGCACGTGAATAATACATAGCACATTATTATTATGCTAGTTATGAATCTTTTTCAACTTATGTGTGCATGAACATCAAACAAAAACAATACAAAATATAAAATCTTTAAAATAACAAATCAGATGCACATTAATGCTTTGAAATCCTCATTCTCTTTACTCAACAAAATATTTTAGTACACTGTACTCATGTTCTTTTTGTTTACATAATGTTGTTGCCTAATTGTGTTAATGATTTACAACTTCTATTGATATTTATTATCATCTTAATCCATACCAAAGTAATATTATCAAGATATATATGTCCGTGTGTTACATTATGTAAATTATTACAATTAATATGTAATTTAAAAAAAAATGTAGAAACATAAGAATAATGTTTTTTATACAAATGTAATATATTTGGGAATAATTTGACTATTATCTCTCAATAAACTAATAACCAAAAATTAAATTTATGTTAAAGATGCATCATATCAAAATTATACAGAGTTTAAAAACTTCAGTGTAAATTGACCCATTAGTTCTGATCAAATGTAAAACGAACCTCTAATTTTTTTATTGGAGGCTAGTTCTCTAATGTGTACCTATCTTAAAGACTTTAACAATAAATAAACAAGGGCCCTCAATAAACAATTCCAGTCAAGAAACTAATTGAAAATTCAATAAACAATTCTAGTCAAGAAACTAATTGAAAATTCTAAACATATACGTATGCATATAACTAATGCTCAATTTGCAGCACAAACTAATCTTAAAAGTAATGAAACTCAATTGTGTAAAATCACATAATATTAACAATACTTAACACATATATTTACAAATACAAGACAAAAGTACATATCATATTATAATATTTACCATAATTCCCCAAACAGAAATAGATTCATCAAACAAAAATAATCCACAAAATGGTTTTTATAACTTTTGAGTAACATAACTATTTTGTCAATTTAGAATTTTGATACAAGACTTAAAGATGGGTGACCGACCAAGTGCAATACACAACGGCACAACGCCTTATCCACATGAGTACTTCACGATGGTCACAAGGGTAAAGATCATCGTCCCGTTTATTTCAAATTTTCAGCTCGTTAGCTTTTTAGCCAACATTATACTAAAACATATAGATATTGTGTATAGAAAATGTAGTTATGACTTCTCATAACAAAGAATTGAAGAAATACCTTTTGATTTGGTAAGTACTTCGATTTCTTACATGATGAGTTCCCTTAAAAAGAGATGTACCTTGTTGATATGAGTGGTATTATCATTCCTTTTAAATTAACCTTGAGTGTTACAATTAGAGGTGTGAAAATATCTATGGTGAGCTATAATCATTTTATGCCCATCATCTCTATATATCAAATCGTAAAGTTATCAATTATGGGGTGAGTAAGAAAGTTGTAGTTACATTTTTTTGTGACAAAACATATACTGTTGAAATATAATGAATTAGTGGTCTCCTAATTATTCATGATTAAAAAGTCACTATTATCATTATCAAGATAATTCAGAAATCACAATTACGATTTCTAGATAATGATTATGTTGTTAATATTAATTTCCTCGCCTTGGGTTAATCACCTGGTTAGCTATAAATAGAGGCTTTCTCATTCACCGTAAATACACCTCTAATACACCTTCAAGAACACCTTTATATATAATACGGAGTATAAAAAAGTTCAATGTTTTTAATGTTTTTATGTATATTCAAAACCATACTACCTTAAATATAAAACATGAATACATATGGCCACAAATGCACTTCATTAATTGTAGGAAATTGGATGTTACATCTCATGAGTACATTACAATTTGCAAAAACAAGAACTACAAGAATCATGCGATGCTAAAAATATGATTACAGACTCCAACATGAAGTGTTCTCACATAGATATGACAATGGATAATAGCCCAGGCATAAATAAAAATTCAACAGTTTCAAAACGACCCTTCTTTTGCTCTTTATCACTTATTTCCCTCTTCTGGGATAAAAGACTTAGTAAAATGAGTTCACATAAGAAGTTTCAGGAGGGTGGTAATAGAAGATTTCTCTCAACATCAGCTCCCTAATAACCGGTTCTCCCATGTTCTCATCAATATCGAGATCGAGAGGGAATTGGGCAGGCGGGTTATGAGCGGGATCGAAAAGGTCCGACAAGTAAGGATGATGAAGAGCTTCTAAAACCGTGATTCTCTTGGATGGATCAAAAACAAGCATTTGATGTAACAAATCCAATGCCAAAGGATCAGCCTGGGGAAACAAAGAAGAGAAATTGATCCCTCGGGAAAACGGGAGTGACCGAATGAACTTCTTCGCCTTCGGGTTATCGATAAACTGAAGATCAGATTCGGGTTGACTACCAAGAACACTGATGATGAGTTTGAGCTGACTGAGGCACTCTGAACCTTGAAATATCGGTTTTCTGCCAAGAATCTCCGCGAATATACACCCGACTGACCACACATCAATGGAGGTTCCATAATTATCACACGAAAGTAGCAATTCTGGGGCTCGATACCAACGTGTCACGACATATTCAGTCATGAACTGTCCGTTGTCTCGGGTAGTTCTAGCCAGCCCGAAATCACAAATCTTCAGTTCACAATTTGCATTCACAAGTAGATTTCCAGGCTTCAAGTCCCGGTGGAGAATGTTTGCTGAGTGGAGATATTTCAGCCCTCGTAGTAGCTGAAATTGCAATTCACATATTATCACCCACACAAGAGAAATAATTACAGAGTTAAGTGGCTCAAGTCCAAGAAAAATGAACTTTGAATAGCATATTGCCTCTTCTTATCTTACTTTTTGGAATTATTAGTAGATTTATTCAACAGATCTTTTTATTAAATCCAATTTTCCTTCTCATAGCATTTATAAAATGAAGGGTAAGAACCAATTTGGTAACAAGTAAAATTAATTCAATAATGTGCTAGAATTGCTAAAGTTATGGCTAAAATAAATTAAAAAAAATGTATAATATACTCTTAATTTATTGATATAAACTATGCAAAGCACAATGTCGAAGTGCTTGTCCTAAAAATCAACTAATTCTAAAATCATAAATCAAGATATAAATAATGGGCTACTTCATGATATGACCTCTTCTAATTCTAATATTTACCATATGGCCTCTTCCTCTCCTACTGTTTGGATTTTTAGAACATTCATTAAAATAGACGTTCGAATTAAATCTAAATTTTCAATGATCATTTATCTTAGTTTTAGTATGAAGCCGTATTCAAAATATGACTACAGTAATGACATGTTGATATATAAAAAACTAAAACATTCATTTTTACACTATAACATCTTTATTTTTTCATTAATACCAATTTTCTGCATTAAATGAAAATATTGTGTAGTAGAAAATTTGAATCATAAATGTGGTAAGAAAAAACCAAAACAACTAAAAGGCCAAAAGGGCACTAGTTTTTCTTGAAGTGAATTTATAGGGTCCATAGACACTCAAAATTTAATCCTAAAAGCTTAAATAACAGAGTTTGGTCTTTTTTTTGTTATTATGTAAATAGTGGGTGTGGGACAAATTGAACAGCTCAAAAGCTGTAAATTCCCCCAAACTATTTGAAAAAAAGTCGTTTTCCACAAATATTCAAAGAATCGAAACCCGAAAGATCAATCAATGCAAAAGTGTTTTTTCTACAAACAAACAAATAAATCCTTATGAATGGCATGTTTATGGATTATTAACAGCAAAATTAAGGGGAAGAGCATTTTGAGGAAAAAGAGAGGAGAAAAATTAACACCTGGAAGAGGAAATACTTGGAATGATCATTGGAGAGTGGCTGGGAGGACTTGATGATATGATGCAAATCAGTGTCCATTAATTCATAAACCAAATACACATCCTTAAACCCGCCGCCGCCGAAGCCCGGCGGCGCCGCCGGCATCATGACGTCCTTCAACGCAATCACATTCTCATGCCTAACGTGACGCAAAAGCTGCAACTCCCTCAGAGTCCGCAGCGCATCAACTCTGTTCCCAAACACGTCACAGATCTTCTTGATCGCCACCCTCTCGTTCGTCTCCCGGTTCACCGACGAGCAAACGACGCCGTACGCCCCTTTCCCGATCGGCTTGATCGGAATATACTTCGTGTCCACTTCAAACACCGTCTGCCAGATTCGGTAGTAATGCTTCCCCGGCGCCCAAACCCCGTTCGGCGGCTCCACCGGCGTCGCCATTCCTCCGCCGCCGTCACTCCCTGTTCATTCCGATCAAAGACCCATCCCAGGAATCCGTTTTATAACTACCATTGATGAGTGGGTTGAGATTGAAAAGTGGGGAAAAATGATTAACAGAGCAAAGTAAAGGCAAAGGGCGAAGAATCTATTCTTACTTTCCGGCTGCAATTGGATCCTGGACGATCTTCTGTTCTGGAAGACTGGAACTCCCTCCCCTTTTCCTTTTCAGTTATTTGGGGATTTTTATTTTATCGAAAACTAACCGAATTTGCAGTTTTCTTCAACCCCAATCTTCCCCAGCTTTATCCACTGAAAAGGATTCTCTTCTCTTCTCTTCTCCCGAGAAGAAGTAAAGGCTGGGACTTTTTCCTTTAATTAACCTTGAGAAACAAATTCTCTATTTCGTCAAAAGATTTAAACGAAAAAAGGAAGACAAAGAAACAAATTAAAGCGAATCCGGCTGAGAGATAGGAAGATTACTTCTTATCCCCACCAAGAACACGACAAATGAGAGTGGTGTTTTTCTTACCACTCCGCAAAATCAGTAACATACCCCCAAATATATTACTTCGAGAATCGAGAATCTGGGTTGATTCATCATGGTAAACAGTAAAAACAATAATTCATCATTAGTGGTAATTAGTTTTTGGTATAACTTGAAGATGAGACTATTTGAGGATGGGCAGGGCAAGTGGGGAGGGAGTCGTATGGAGGTGGGAAGGTTCGGCCTAATCACGTTGTTAGTTGAGCAAAGTGTGTTTGTTAACTGGATTAGGGAAGTGATTATATTATTGTTAGTGAGCTTTAATTGAGTTTTGCTATGTTAGTGTATAGTAATTTAATGATAATGAAGGTGGCGGAAGAAGAGATGAGGGACATTCCGTAATGGGACACTGTGACCGATGGGTGACGGCGCCTTAACGAAATGGCGAGGCCACGTGGAGGGAAGCGCAAAAGCCGGCGGCAGTTTACTGACAGGTGCCCTTATGTGGGGGACCCATTTACCTCTTCATCTCTCCAACTTAGGAAGGAGCGCTTCTTTCCTTCTCGTTTATTCCCTCAAAGCTGGTCAACAGTCAATCCGGAGTAAGTAATTTGAATACTTCTACTCGTATCTTATGGAAAAAATTTCACTTTGATTTTCGAGACGTTCTTAGCTAAATGCTGCGATTTCTGTTTTAAAAACTAATTATCACCATTGCTGATTTATTGACATTTTAATTATTAAATATTAAAACTATATGTAACAGTTATCATAAAAAAAATCTCAAAATAAATTTGAAATACGGAGTACTTTATTTAATTATTTTCTAAATAATAAACGTGACACTTGTAATGAGAATTCTATATCGAAACGAAGATATTACAATATATACTTCAGGATTTTCCTACCATTGACTAAATGTAATCTTTCATTCAAAAAATGATTACTTTTAAATATGAACAAAAATGTGACTAACATGGTAATAAATTTGGAGAGCATTATCTTGTTTTGGCCGCCATAGATGTAATTCTAGCTAGGAATTGAAAATGATTTTACAAATTAATATTTGATCACTTTGGAGCTAAAACAAGAAGGTTCTCACACTCTCACCTCTCATGTTTATATAATATATATGGACCAAGTTTAAACATATTGTACTTCCTGAGTGAACATTCTTATATATTATTTGTAGAAAATCATTTTGAAATGAATGAAAAATCGTTATTTGATGTTCCTCCAAAACAAAAAGGGTCCGATCACACTAAACCGATAAAAAATGATTCAAATTTCATTTTTTACAGGTCACCCTTCGGTCGATCACCTGCCACGTCACCTGTTAAGTTGTCAGCTAGAAGCTCAAACATGTTCCTCAACATATTCATATTGAATTAACCCCCTTAGTTTTAAAAAAGTTCAACGTTAGGATAAGTTGAAAATAAATCGGAAACAATAAATATAAAATAATAAAGATGAAGTACAAATATATGGTAAAAATATTTATATTTTTTGGTCAATTCAAAGTCACATGTTGGAATTCTTCAATTAACTCGCACCTCTTAAACTTCCATTCCTATTTATTTTATCTTGTATTATACATCAAAACCATATTTATACTTTATGATATACAAAAAAAACAATTTGAACTTTTATATTTTTATCTTATAACTAATTTTTGAAGTATTGTAATTTTTCTATTTTTTAATTCATATGTAATAATTTAAAATCTCCGAAATGCCAAAGTATACATGCATAGTAATTAAAAAAGAATAAAACATAAAAATATAAAATGAAATCTTAAATAAAATATGAGATATTACCCAAAATGGGACTAAAAAAGTTTGGAAATTCCAAAATAGGACTTCATGTTTTTATTCCCAAAATAGGATTAATTACTGTAACGTTTTGGCAGTATCAAACTTCAAACATGACAGTATTTTCCAAATTTGGCAGTAATTAGTCCTATTTTTGGAATAAAAACATGACAGTCATATTTTGGAATTTTCAAACTTTTTTAGTCCAATTTCGAGAACTTTCCCATAAAATATTAATGTAAAAATGGATATAAAATATGAATATATAGCTGACAACTATACTTATTTTTTAATTATATATATATATATATATATATTATGAGATATTATTTAATTGTTTTTTTATTTTTTCAACTTTTATATATGATTTGTTACAATTTTTGCACTTTTTATTTGCTTGAAGGGTGATTTGAACAATTGTGATAGGTTTAGGGACTTATTTGAATATTTTGTGTCCACATCATCAGTTTACCAGTGACGTGGTGGTGACCAGAAGGTGATCTTTAAAAAATGAAATTTGAACCATTTTCCCAGTTTAGATTGTGACTTGGACATTCTTTTAATTTAGGTATTGAATTGAGCAAACATGAGGTACATGGAGCTATTTGAAAGCCAATATATTTTACACCGCAAATCTTAAGTAAAGTTGAAAGCTTTTTTATAATCCAACTAATAGTTGTATTTATGGTGAAAGAGGCCGGTCCTTAAGAATTTTATATTACAGGGGCCAAAGTTTAAAATATCAACATCCTTTCTATAAATTAAAAGTATTTATACATAATATATACTTAAGATTTTTTTTTCTTGCAGGGGCCATGACCACCTCCAGCCCCTCCCTGTCTCCACCTGCCAACTATTGCTATTGAGTTGGTCCTCAAGGGGCACCTAAGTTTTGTGAGAATATATGGAAGACCCGCATGTGTCAAAGCGTTGAATTACACTTCAGTGACTTCACATGTGCGCTCCGATGTACGTATGGTACTCACCCTTGTGGCTTAAACAGATAAATACGGAGTATATTTTTTGTACAATTGTTTTTCGAATAAACATTTTACTGAAGGGTCGTCATGCAAAATTTCTCTAATAGGTGTCTTTTGGGATGTCGTACATCTTGTCAGTCGGGTACGAGTGCGTACCCACCTGCATGGATTAAAGATATGATATAAATATATTTTTCTAGTATTTTGGATAAAAATTTAAATTGAGTTAGTGTATAAAACAAATAAGAGATGTGATTAATAGTAGATCGCATGCATAAAAACAAATGGGAAGGATTGATAGGATTAAATGATTGTAATGAAAGGATTGCCAAGGACACAAAAGGATTCTCATGCACCCTAATGATTAATGAATATATAGCTAAGGATTGCCGAGGACGTCAACTACACCAAGCCTACTGCTAATGATGGTCAAGGATTGCATGCTTAACAAATTAACAAGGATTATTGAGAATAAGAGTTTCTAAAGTTGCCAAGAATTGCATACATAATGCATCGTCAAGGCTTGATAACAAAGATTGCCAAAGATTGGCAAGAAAAGGCACTTTTGAATGGATTACATGGGGTACGTTAAAGTAAGGGTCGATTTTTTTTATTTTTATTTTTTGTCTAATAGCTAGCGAAGTGTGTCACTTAAATAAAAGTCATCAAAATAATCAGTATCATTTTGTGAACAGTTCTCTAGTGATGTTATTATTTGTTCATTTGTTCGAAATTTCAAAACTTTGCTATGAAATCTATTTTAGTATCGTGCATGTCCAAGATAAATGAGGATGATGCTCTGATAGGCATGTGACGATTGACGACCAACGAAATCACTTTGTCACATATTCACATCACTTGACATGAATCGAAATACGAATATATTATCTATCGATTCATAGCTGCATGACACCAAAACCCATTAAAACTAAGATTCAAAAGTATGTAGGGAAATTAAAGGAGAACGGTATATATGAATAAGGTGCGTGCCTAGAAATTTATGTTTGTTCAATACTCTCTCAATATATACTTGTTTGAGACATTAAATTTTTGCACAAAATATAAGTAGTAAATAGTAGACATAGTGAATGGTGTATAAAATGCGTAAAGCCGTAAAAAGAGAGGGGCTCGACTGGGTAAAAAAGAATGAAAGTGCAGAAAATCTAAGAATAATTATGAGCCCGTTTGGTAGCACCAAAATCGGCTGTTTTGGCTGATTCTGCTGAAATTTATGATATTCTGGCTGGAGTGGCTGTTTTGGCTGATTCTGCTGATTTAAGAAAAAAATATTTTAAAAATATATTTTATTAATAAATTAAAGAAAAAATTATATGTAAAAATAGCTAAAATGGTCTTCTACAGTAACTTCAGCCAATACAGCCAGAAAACTAACTCCAACCTTACTTTTTCGGCTTATTACACAATTCAGCGCGCGAAAGTAAAAGTTACGTGTTTGGTGAAAAAGCTGGCTGATAAGCCTGATAAGCCGAAAACAGAGTTCTCCAAACGGGCTCTATATATTTTTAAATGTAAAACTACCATAAAATATAATAATTGTTGTAAATACTTAAATACAAATAAAAAGGGAAATTCGGAAGAGGTTCAAATACGAAAGCACAAGTTGAAAGAGGGAATGTTTCATCCCTCCCTATTGGTGTTTGTGCAATTATAGTGCCCGTTTGATGGCTCATTTTTTCAGCTTATCAGACTTATTAGCCAGTTTTTTCATTAAACACATAATTTTTCATTGCGCGTGGTGAATTGTGTAATAATAAGAAAAAGTAAGGTTCTAGTTTGTTTTCTGACTGGATTGGCTGAAGTTACTGTAGAGGATCATTTTAGCTATTTTTCATATAATTTTTTATTTTATTTATTAATAACAAATAAAATATAATTATTTTATTTAAATATAATTTTTTCATAAATCAGAAGAATCAGCCGATTCAGCCAATTTAACGAGAACTTCATAAATTTAACCAGAATCAGTCAATTCGGCCAATTTAAATGTTACCAAACATGCTCATAGTTATATTATTATCCGGAGTACAATATATTTAAAAAGTTTGCCCTCTCTTGGATTGAAATCCTTGATCCGCCCTAAATCCATACATAGGAAAACCACCACTCCAAAAACAACTTATGGACTAAAAGATAACACGCCAATAATCTAAGGCTAACTTCTAGTCATGATTCAACTCATTTTCAACGAGGTGATTATTGACAAAAGGTGAAAGTCAAAGATTATAGGTGAAACATCATTAAAATCGGGATTGCACGACCTTATTCAATTGGTGAACTTCGGTGAAACATCCTTAAAATGGAAATTAGTTGTGGATATTTTGAACTGAACTTCCCACATCTTAAACAGTTCGAATCCTATACATACACTGATTACTGATACACGGATAGATTTGACATGGGTAGAGAAACGTCATTTAGACAGTCATGTTGATAATTTTAAGAATTTTATCTAATTACGTTTTTAGCTATTATTTATTCCCTAATTTCATTCATGTGATGATTTTTAAACTAAATACAAGTAATAACTTTATTT